CCCTGCCCCCGACATCTCCAAGTAAGCTGGAAACGGGTCCAACATCTCCAAATTAAGGTTGTGAAGTTTGATAATGAATAGTAAGGTCAGAAACAAAACCTAATTACACGAGTGTAAAACCGGTAGAATATCCCCAACGACCTACAGCCAGTAATGCCCAAATGAACATGAGATTGAGGTATCATCAAGAAATAGTGGCCAGTAATGCCCAAATGAACATGAGATTGAGGTATCATCAAGAAATAGTGAAATACATAATCAGAAGACGTCAAAGGACAGATTTCCCACTAACTGACTGCACCCTTTGAGGGCCGAACGGCAGAGGTGATACGAGTACACCCCGAGGGAGGGCTCCTCCTATAGTGATGGCTGCAATTTTATTGGTGGGGGCTAAACCTGCTGAAAGCCAGGTACAGCATCCCATTTTGACCAAAAAGCCCAATGTAGGCGGAGAACAGCATTGATTGCCCCCGCATGAGGGGCATTAAGCGCACATAATATTATCTCAACACTTGAATTCCAAAAAAACATTCAAGTGCTCCTTATTCTAAGACGGAATATTATAAGTGAATTTTATAAGACCGAGAAACACCTACAGGGGAAACAATATTGTCATGACAGATTTATCTGAAAATGAACGGATGTCCAGATGTCTAAAACACCTCCCTGCAACGACATCTACCTCCCCTGTTCTCGTCCTCTCTCCTCATCCCCTCCAATCTCCTGTCCACCCAAACATCCGGACGATGAAACCCTACCCACATACTGGAGGAGATTCTCTCCCTCCACCCCACGACACCCTTCCATATGAACGACATCCGGACGATGAAACCCTACCCACGTACTGGAGGAGATTCTCTCCCTCCACCCCACGACACCCTTCCATATGAACGATGCAGCCCACAGTAAGCCACCCTCCTCCTTTCTAGATCCATCTCCCCTCCCTCCACAGCATTCCACCCTTTCGGCTTTCTAACCCCATCGCACCTCCTCCGCTTTTTCAGCTCCTCTACTCCTAAATCTCCCTCTCCCTTCCCATTCGGCAAAAGGAAAGAGTCAACCATCAAGTGGCAACCCACAGTAAGCCACCCTCCTCCCTTCTCGACCCATCTCCCCTCCCTCCACCACGTTCCATCCTTTCGACTTTCTAGCCCCATCGCACCTCCTCCCCTTTTTCAGCTCCTCTACTCCTAAATCTCCCTATCCCTTCCCATTCGGCGAAAGGAAAGAGACAACCATCAAGTGGCAAGGAGAAATAGAAAAAGAAGGCATGGAAGAAAAGTGAAGAGGGAGGCTCTTCCCCCCCCACCTGCTTCCCACTTCCTCCCTCACCACTTCAAAAGAGAGAGGGAGGCGTTGGGATGGGGAGTGGAGGAAAAGCGAAAAACCGAACAGCAGGAGCTGGGAGGGAACACCTAAAAAATCGAAGGAGAACAACACAATTTGTCCATTCTCGGCCAGGAAAAGCGAAAAACCGAACAGCAGGAGCTGGGAGTGAACACCTAAAAAAATCGAAGGAGAACAACACAATTTGTCCATCCTCGTCCCGACTCCAGCAGATAATGATACTGGTAAGTCCTACACCCGCAACACGCTCTGGAAGATGATGGTGATGTTAACCCTGGCCGTCCAGCCGCAATACACCCAATTCACCTCCACGTCGTCACTGCATCCTGTAGGTAGCAGATGACTGAAAAAATTATGATGATGATGTTAACTTTTGTAGTAGTAATTGCCACTCTCCAAACGCCAACTTTTGTAGTAGTAATTGCCACTCTCCAAACGCCAATGCAGACCTGTCGCAACTAATCCACCATGCCAGCGATCAAGGGAGGTGTTCGACGTCCTGTCCCGCTGTGCTGCCACCGCTCCTGAGAAGTCCAGCTCTTCTGATGCTCCGGTCTGCAAACAATGCATCTTCTAATGTCTGCTGAATAATCAGCATACCACACCGATCGGTAATCCCCAATTACTAAGAGATTCCATTCGCATCCAAAGCTTGGCCTCATAACCCAAACTTGAGCTCCTCAGATGCATTCGGCTCTCCTTTCCCAATCACCTGCAACATATCACACACACACACACACACACACACACACACAGAGAGAGAGAGAGAGAGAGAGAGAGAGAGAGAGAGAGAGAGAGAGAGAGAGAGAGAGNGAGAGAGAGAGAGAGAGAGAGAGAGAGAGAGAGAGAGAGAGAGAGAGAGAGAGAGAGAGAGAGAGAGAGAGAGAGAGAGAGAGAGAGAGGTGAAGAGGGAAAATACGAGCACAGGGCAAATACGAGCACAGAACGAGTGCGTGTTTCTTTGCACATGTAGATGTTAGTCAAATCATCACCACGATACTAGTAATGGGTACTTATACAGCGAATTTTTCTTGTCAAATCAACACCATTATAATCTTAGCAAAAAAAATCCATATGCGGCTGGTAGGGAGTTGGCAACTTCGCAATTTCGTTCTACTACCGGCAAGTTGTGAATGTACATTTCATCGCAATTTCGAATTTTGCTTGTCAAATCAACACCATTATAATCTTAGGATTCTTAGCAAAAAAAAACCCTTATGCGGCTGGTAGGGAGTTAGCAACTTCGCAAAATTGTGTTCTACTACCCACCGTATCCGTACACTTAATTGAAAGGAATGGCGACAAACACCGGCAAATTGTGAATGTGCATTTCATTAATTCTGGTACTGAGCATGTGCCCTACACAAAGGGCTGGGCTCAACAGTGCGCATGGTGTGCATAATCCTCCTTGTTGACAAAGTGAGAGACAACTAACAAGCCAAGGATCTATTGTATGGAGTCCAGTACAAATCTAGTATTTGATTGTAGGAAGCCTTGGATTTTGGAGACTACCTTAGAAACACGATCGAATGAGGCAGTCAAGGAAGGAGTCGTAGGAGGAAAGAACAACCTGGTCCACGCCTGACAAAAGAAGGGACCTGTTCTGATCCAGACCTGTAACTGACAAACCAGGAGGACAACTGAGAGGTAACTTGTGAGGGAGGAGTGCCAATTGTTTGGAAACCTAAGGGAGGTGGTGCCTTTCAAACATCGGCGCAAGTTCAAGGGACAAGCACTTCCTTGGAGTTCCTCCCCCTCCACATCCAAGAAGAGGGTGCCAGGCTGGACAATAGACTTGGCAAGAGAGGTATTGGTCAGACGCTTGCTTGAAATGTGGGGCACACAATCAGACCCAATGGCCTGACGAGAACCAAACGATCCAGTGCATGGAATAGCCCCGTCTATTCTGTCAGTATATGAAGGACAAATAGTCCCAGCCGGGCTTATAAGATTCTCCCGCATCTTCTCAGACAGCTATGGTAGTGGCTACTGAGCCCTCACCTTGTTGTTACCCACAGTTGCAGTCTAACCAGGAGACACTTTGTTCTTAAAATATGACCAAGTCCTTACAAGATATGGAGGACAAGTTGCCAGAACTTATGACCTCTTTGATAACGCTAGCAGAGGGTCCAAAGGGAGAGTTAATTTTATGGCCTCTTTGATAATGCTAGCAGAGGGTCCAAAGGGAGAGTTAATTTTATGGCCTCTTTGATAACGTTAGCAGAGGGTCCAAAGGGAGAGTTAATTCTTGGGGTAGAAGTGGGTGGCCGTAACGCAGGGGCCCCTTAGTCAATATACGATTGACTTGCAGTTACTGCAGTCAGGCTTGCAGTTGTGCCTTCCGGGTGCAGCCGCTGAGTTGACCCCTACTGTAGTTTTTTATGCTACCCTACAAGAAGGAAAGACTTGGCACAAGTTGCTTTTTTTGTGGTGAGCGCTGAACTACGATTTTCTGGTCGGTCATGAACTACCTACCACCCGACATGATCCTGGGAATGTACTAGTTGCTGGTGGCTAAGCCCCTACCGCAAGATAGAATGAAGACTTGCAACACAACTATGTGATAAACATACAAGGAGGCAAGAGGGCAAGGGGGTGGCATGGACGGATACGCGTATCCCCAAATCCTGCCGTCAATCTTTATAACTGATGTGCAAACCAGGAGTCTCACATACAATTAAGTGTGGGATGCAGGTATATTTGCAGTGGCCACCCTATCTGAAGGCGTATCAGTACCGAGTGCCCAGGACATTCACCTTATCACAGGGAAAATGACAGACAAATTATCCACAAACTGTTTGTGAGACGTGCGCTAAAAATAGCTGCGGAAAAGGATGGGAGGCAAAAACAGAGGAATGGCACATTGGAACTATTCCTCACACAATTTATTTTAATTTATGTTTTCCGTTCTAGTGTTTACTTGTGCTTCTGTCCGTTTTCTGCATGGTTTGGCCTTTTCCCGTGTTTTTCTGAGCACCGAAGTCTAATGGGTTTAAGTTGTACCAAATAGTCAGTGCCTGTTTGTATGAAGGGCCTTCAACACTATTGAGCGGAGTGCTGTGTTTGGGATGCCTGAGGATCTGTGTTTTCAGTGGTGATAGACATTTGTCTGGTAGCTTCCAGATCCCAGATGGTGGTGTGAAGAGTGGCGATATACATTCTCTGGTAGTTTCCAGACTCCTGATGGTGGTGTGAACCTACAGTCTTCCGGGTTTTCCATACGGGAGTAGATGATACTCCGCTTTGTTCCTTGCTACCATGATCCACGGGTTCTGTGCTGGTGCAAACTTGCCTGTGGCTGTATTGCTATCCTCCTGCGCGCGGCCCCCCCCCCTGCACACCCGCTCGCCTTGCTACTGTGCCTAGTGCGATTGTGTTTAGTGCCTTGTTGTGTCATTTTGTGGGGTTCTGTGCTGATGCAAACTTGGCTGTGGCTGTATTGCTATCCTCCTGCGCGCGCCCCCCCCCCCTGCACACCCGCTCGCCTTGCTACGGTGCCTAGTGCGATTGTGTTTAGTGCCTTGTTGTGTCATTTTGTGCGTGCCCTCCCTGCTACACTGCCTAGTGGGATTGTGTTTAGTGCCTTGTGTCATTTTGTGCATGCCCTCCCGCCCGCCTGCCCACCTGCTTGCCTTACTTGCCTTGCCTTAGTGCCCACCCTGCTCCCCTGCTGCTTGCCTTGCCTTGCCTTTACTGCTTGCCTTGCATTGCATTGCAGCCTACTGTGCTCCCCTGCTGCTTGCCTGCCTTGCTGCCTTGGTGCCATGCTGCTCCTTATGCTCCCGTGCTACTTGCCTCGCCCCTTGCTGCCTTGTTTCCTTGTTGCCTTGCTGCTCATTATGCTTCCCAGCTGCGTGTCTCACTGCTTCGTTGCACTCCTGTCTTGCTGCTTACCTGTATTGCGCTGCCTTGCTGGCTTGCTGTGATGAATCCTTGGCTGTGTTTTCCCATTTGCAACAGGGTTTGAAGCATTCTGAGTGGATCCTGCAGACTGTCGACATCCGATGAAACAGTCACTACTCGTGTTTGATCCTTACGTCTTGTCTGCTATGTTCGTTCTATCCGCGTACGTGTGGGGATCTTTGAGGATAGTCCTGTCAGCCTATGTTGATGTCCAGTAGCACATATCTCCTACATTCTTGGGAATAGTCTGTCTGCCTATGTTGATATCCAATAGCACATGTTTCCTACATGGTCAATCGAACGGATACTGGGTAAGCGGGAATCCCCGAATCGGTTATGCCCACGACTGGCGTACCACAAAGTATGTCTGCATAAATGTGGGGCAACATAGCATAACTGCACAACTGCGATGGCGTTACGACGCACACACTTTCACAGACATGCACGGGGTGACGTTCAAACTTCAAACACAGAAAAAAAATAAGATTTTGACAGAAGGGGGTTCGCATAGAAGCGACAAGATTTTGACTCTTGACCTGTCGATTTGCCAGTTGCTTTCGGTATCCACCATTTCGCAACAGGGTGGCACAGGACGCGAAGTACTCACTCTGAGTCATTGTCGTGCTCGTTCTTCTCATGCAAGGCTGGAACCCTTTTTTTCAGAAGCAGCGGCATTCATAGCAGACGGTCCTTTTACAAGCCGTGAAACCGTCCTTTCAGCCTCAGCTGCACTCACAAATAGCCATTCTGTGCCAAGCTTTTCAATAAATTTGCTCTGATTCAGCTTTCCCAGAACTGTCTGGTTTGGATTTGCAAGCGCCAGCTGGACACGGCAACAAACACCAACAACAACGTGCACGTAGTCACAACCAAAAAAAGCATGCAACAATTGCAATCATTGCAAAGTACTAAAAACTTAAAGTTATAAAAGCCTCCCTCTATGCATTGGACAAGGCGATTAAGACGCCGCTGGACCCATGCGACTTCCCGCAGGATAGCCAGTTCGGCAGCCTACCGTCTTCACCCAAATAGAACACCCGGTCATTATCGCCGCATCTGGACTGAAAGTTGGGCAAAATGCAGCTACATTGGCCAGGCGTTCTATTCGGGTGTAACCCATGCAGCCCAGTGAGCTGGAGCTCCCGGTCAAGAAACAACAGCATGCCTATGCGTTAAAAAAAAAAAAAAAAAAAAAAAAAAAAAAGAAGAAGAAGGAAGAACAGGAAAAAAGGGGATAGCCTCTGCATCAACCCATGGGCCTAGCTCAGTTGGTACACCCATGAACTGTTGAAATACAGACCTGAGTACAAATCCAGATCTACCAGATGACCAGAATAAAACATGCTATGGGCACGGCGGCTAATTTCGGATCGAGCTCGATTGGCTGGACTTTATTGTTGTATATTTTCGAATTGCCTATCCTGTCGCGTTCGGGAGACTTTGGCGTGTCGTGCTCTTCTACTTCTTCTCTTCCTTTCTATTCTGTCGCTTCCTCTTCTGTGTCTAAGTTGGTCGTCTCTTTGACCCTTGTTGAGTCCCGTCATGCTTGAGCTGTGTGTGTTTCGCTTTAGGCCAATTGGTCAACACTGGACTTGTATCGAATGCAACGTGGCATAGCGATGTGGTGTGAATAATATTCACCACCTGAATAAAATCATTACTCAACCAGTTCTGGGACAGGGGAAGGTGGCAGCGATAGAGATTCACAGATCGCGATACAAATGGGGCCACCTTTCAAATAACTCAAGGGATCAGGGTGGAGATAGCAGCGGCGGGGAACGGGAAACACACATAGAAAAGGCCCTAAGGCCAGAGGCGAGGAAGAGAGCAATGAGAACATGACGGTGGGACACTGAGCTGACATACCAGTCAGGAAACAGACTAGGGATAAGCTAGGGTTTAGGGTTTAGAGGTTCGGGCACGACTCTTAGGCTGGGCTCCCTCGTTGGCTCAACGGGGTTCAATAAGGATTTTAGCGAGGAAAGAGGCAGATAGCAGTACAGCTTGCCCCATTTATTTAGGTCTTTCAAGTTTCTGCCTTATTGGGGCCAGCTTGGGGTCTCCGTCACAGGTAGTACAGTCCGTCCCCTTTTTGTCTGTTTTGGCTTTATAAGGACAGTTTGCGGTTTTGGGTTGCAGTCAAGGGGATGCTGGACCCGGTTTCCAGCACAAGCCTCCCTGGGTAATGGCTCCAAAACACTCCGGGTTGAGATGTTGAGGAATTCCCGGCCTCGTTTTTGGACATACAATAATAAAACTGCACCCTTTTATTAAAAAAATAACTAAATAAATTGACAACATCAAAATGAAAATTCTGAATTACCTGGCTGGACAACGTTGCCTCGTTGGGTGGCAAATATTCCTAAAAAAAAAAAAGAAAACAAAGGCTGCCTATGCATCATGATCAACAAGGAATGAATCTGGCCTGGAAATTGTCATAACCTTCTCACTAAGGCTCAGGCCGGTAAACATAAAAAAGCTAGCAGTAAGAAAAAGCATACTCAAGAGCGTAATGGCCTCGTCCCTCATGGGCAGAGTGCCTATCGTCGTCAACACATCGATCTTCTCGACCATAAAAGCTAGAATCTTTCTATGAATGGGAAAGCCAAATAGACAAAAGTTGCTTGCCCATTCTGAAGGCGCCCTGGAGGCTGGAACAACATGACAAGAACGCCCCGCGACGAAGAGGTTTGGGGAAGCGGCGGCTGTTTGAGTAATCCCAGCAGACCAGCATGTCAGGTCTGTTTTGGGTCATGACCAAAGCCTGGCCAGCTAGAAGAAAAGACAAACCAAAGTTCGGTGGTCAGTGCCACTGCGCAGCCCAAGCAACATCAGATTCTATTTCAGTATTACACTGGGCCAGCCTCATCCTGGCTTGGAGGAAAATCTTCTTAACTCAAGAGTGTGCAAGTACAAACCTGAAACAACGCAGGCATATAATGGTTGATGAACAGATTGTGAGTTCGAATCCTGATGGAATCAGATCCGCGTAATAAGGTTGGGAATAACAAATTAAGCAAGTCCTTCGAAATCCAATCTTGAATCTTTTGTACAGAGCTCCGCCCCCGACTCTCCCCCCTCCCCGCCCCGGCCCACTTCTTCCTCCCCTCGCCCCTGCGGTCACCACCCTGCCCACTTCCTCCCCCCTCTCTCCCAGTGTGTAGCAATTGAGCATGCAACACCACCCCTGCGGTCACCACCCTGCCCACTTCCTCCCCCCTCTCTCCCAGTGTGTAGCAATTGAGCATGCAACACCATCTGTGATCATCTCTAGTCAGTATTATACTCTCTCTCACTCTGCTGAGTCTAATGGACAATGAAAGCGCAACTCACCTGAATATTCCAATTTTTAAGGGTTGCCTTGAGGTCCTCCAGAGCGACGATTCCGGTGACATCAATGTCGACAACAGCTGTGAGCGGAAACAACATACAAGGTAGGCCATCCATGTCACATGATGCACCATACCCAATCAACATATGTACATCACACCAGAAACACACAAACACATACTGACTTCAGACTGTCGGACCTCAACTTCCTGCCGAGTCAGTGAAAATCCAATGAAACAGTCTGCCAGACTGCCACAATCACCATAGGCCTCCCTGCATAGAATGCAAAACGAACCTGTACGTGTACCATAGAAAAACTTTGTTTTCACACTTGCCGCCACACGGCAAGCGCGAAACGGGAGACTGGGTTGACTGGGTTGAATGAGCACAACACACGAGGATGAAACGACAAACCATTTTTTCCTTTTTTCTTTTCTTTTCCACCTTTGCTCCATTTGCCAACTGAGCCCAACTCCATTTTCGAGGGCCTCCTTCCTCTCCTCGCCAGAGCACCCTAGAAACTCACGAGGGTGAAGGTGGGCGAAGGTGAAAAAACAATGTCCACGACACCAGACGAACTTGGTTTGGTGCCACGGTCGCATGGCACCCATGCAGCAACGGCGGAATGAACGATCTGTACGCCAAAACTTTCGTTTTGGGTGACATGTGGCAACGCCCTATGAACACACACACACACACACACACACACACACACACACACACAC